ATGATGGAGGGAAGATAGAAAGTTGGAGGGGGGTGGAAGGAAGAGGTGTATGGAGAGTGGAAGAGGTATATTGGGTTTCTATTTTCTGGAGTATTGTTGACAAGAGGAATTGCTGCAATTATTGTTTAATGCTGTATGGTGTTGACTATGTACAGTATATATGTGAGTGTGTGAAAATGAAAATGAAAAAAATAAAATTAAAAAAAAAATACTGATAAAAAAGACCTCCTAGGTCCCTTCCAATTCTATTCTGATTGATTGATTGAAGACACATTATGGCGATTTCAGAAATTGTATTTGGTTGTTCAGTCATTAGGCCAATCTTGCTCAACCAGGGGCTGTATCCTAATGAACTGTATTTTATTACTGCTTGATCAGTACTCCTTTATGGCAATAAATTTTGTAAGAATTAGGTTTTTAAAAGCAGGATACCTGAGGTGTTAAATAATAAGCAAATAAATTTAAAAAATCCAATGTTTTAGTAGAGCCCATAAATAGGCAGCTGTTTCTGTTGTTAACTTCTATCAAAACACCTTAATTGATGGAAATCATTAAGAACAAAAAGCAATCATTCCTTTATATTTGCAAAGTGTTAGTACAAAAAGTCAGTTGTTCTTTAATGGAGACAATTGTAAAATGTGACCTTGGAATATTATTTACTACTCTAAAATCCCTTCTGCATAGAAATGTTTATGTTGAAACAGTGCAAGTATCTGAATAGGATATGACATACCAGAGACATCCCCAATGTTTGTATGTGTGAAGAAAATAAATCAATAAAAATTCAATCTTCAGTACAATGGAAGTGGCAGGGATGAGGATATACTCCTGGGGCAGATTCTAATAGTCTCCCCCTGATTCTGGAGATTTAAGCTAAGAAGCTGCCACATCATCCGCAAAGCATTCCTCTACAACCCCCAGCCCACTATCAGACCACAGCCTTTGGAAATTGAGCTGCACAAGCAGTGGGCAAGCAAGCATGCATGAAGCTCCATTCATGTGAGCAGACAGCACTTGTGCTCACGCATGATGCTCCATTCATGGGAGCGGTGGGTTCATGTTCCCTCCACTTGCACAAATGGAGCTGTGCACATGTGGGCATGCCTGCCACAGATACACACACAAACACTGATGGGGCATCAAGTTGGGGACCACTTCTCTATAGCAATTAATAGCCTATTTTGGTAGCCTTAAAGTTCTCAACTTTCTTTTCCTGATTATGTACCGAATGACTTGAGCCCTGGGTGTGTGAAGGCAAACCTTCCTGATTCTAAGGCATTGCATAGTAGGGGAAAAGCATTGAATAAGGAGGTAAAGAGACCCACATTAAATAACTATTCTACTACTAAGCTGACTGGACTTCATCAATTATATTTTTTTGTTCCTCATTGACTCAGAGTTTGTTAGGGTTAGGATTATCTCTGTCCCTAGTGTTGTTATGGAAAAACACCTACAATTTTGACCTGCCCTCAATTGCTAATCTGTACTGCAGCAATTTCTATAGTATTCTGAAAATGATCTCATTGTCAAAAATCCAATCTATCCACTATCTTTCCCATCTTCTAGGCACCTCAATTTTGCCAAACATGGTTATTTTCCCCACTTTCTGCATTTTGTGTAATTTTGTTTACCTGAAAGGGAATAGTATAATTGGTATGTTGATAAGTGTTCCAGTTTTATTTTTATAATAAGGTATTTTCCATCTTTGAATTTGAATAACAAAAGGGTGCCATCCACATATCTCAAATTTTGATACCATACTTTCCAGTCATGTCTTTCTTATAATATGGTTTGGGTAGGCCTAAACTTTCATTATCCATTTTTACTTGCAGTTGAAACCTACTTGCATTGCTCTCCAGTTCAGCTTTAAGAGAATTCCTTATCTCTTTCCATAAATCCCGGGGTATTTTATTACCTAAGATAAGCATATCCACTCCATTTCTTATAGAACTGATATATTTTGACTGCATGCGATTTATTTATTGATTAATAGAAGTTATATGATCATCTATCTCAGATAATGATCCTAGTCAACTCAAACAAATCAATAAAACCAAAGGTTAAAAAATAAAAACTTTTCATGAGGCCAATAGTGAACCAGACCAAATCTTGCGGACATACCTATTTGGTACATTTGACAACAATCTGCATGTAGAAGTCATCTGACTGATTACACTGAACCTTTTCATTTTGTATCCTATGATTTTATTGCAATGCTGTACTTCTAAAGATGCTGAGTTTCTGAGTAGATGGTTTGTTATTTAAACCACATGCTGGCAATGGACAAACATGTCTCTTAAAAGTCCATCAATGTGTACTTGACATTATTGTTTTTATTCAATCCAAATCTTTCTTTAATGTTAGGTTGCTCCCTTTCTTCAACTTTAATTTATTTATTTCTTGAATTTATATTGCCACCTATTCACCCATGGCAGCTTACAGAATATTTTGCACTGTGGTGCTAATTAGAAAGATTATGTTTTTGCTAGCCATTTCATTTCCCTTTTGAAATTAGCCATCGAATTCCTCACTGCTTTTGCAGGATTTTGTCTGTTATAGAACCATACCTTGTATAACATTTGATGTTCATTGGAGAACCATTAACTCTGATATGGTCCTGTCATTTATTTAGTTACAAATTAGCACATTTATAACAATGTCTCTTTGAGTATCATTGCCACTCCATTCCTTTCTGTGATCTCATTTCCTGAATATCATATATTGATCAGATATGAAGTAGATCATTCCAATCTACCTACATTCATAAATTCCTGAAGCAGCCTGAAGAATTTATTGCACTTGACCATTTCAAATTTTCTTGGGTTCATACCAACAGGGACTTCTCATAGTTCCAACAGTGGGTGTGTTAGTCAAACAATGGACCCTTTTATAAATCTGGTGCTATTAGTAATTCCCTTGAGGGAAACCTATTCATGAATTTCAAGGTTCTTTTCCACTAACTACAATCATACTCCTGGATTGAGGGATCTTTTCATGTCATCCCAAAGTCTAAAAATTACAATCATATTCTTACAATTTTCTTGTCATGTACTACTTTGGCTATTGACTCTTCTTTAATATTAATCTCCATCTCAGGCACTGAAATCATCTTAAAATGAGTATGGAGGCTATTTCCATCTTACTGTAGCTGTTCCAGTGAAAGGGGGGAGTAAAATTACAAGCTTACAGCTCATGGGAATTTATTCTTTTTATGTTAGTGTATAATTTGAGGTAATATTTGAACAGAGCTGTCCTAAAATGCAAAATAGTTGCTAGCTTTCTCTTCAAATTTCAAGGACAGCTATGTCTGAGTTTCGTGTTCATTTATATTTGGAACATGCAAGAATGAATTAACATACTTCTATAAACCAGATGAAAGAATAAATGGGGGACAAAATTTAATCTGCAATTAAAGCATTAGTTGATTAAACTATTAAACAATTTGATGAAGCTTGCAAAATATCATAAAGCCCCTGTGATCTGTAACATGATTTACTAATTTTTCATCCTTAGTTCTATATGCTTGTACAGGTAGGTGACCCATTCAGGCACTTAATTCTTAGCATACAAGAAGATTTAGAATAGGATTTATTTGACTTGATGGAAGCTAAAATCATGCTTTAGTGCTTGACTGGTTTGGTCCCTTAGAATGTTCATTCTTTTTTAGAAATGAAAGGAAAAGAATGAATGGCATGAAAAGAGCTGGAATTTATTCTTGACTCACATTTCTATACCTGGGAAGAATTATAATGCATGTGGTTTTGACATTTTTTTAAAAAAAAATACTGTTTTTTCCATGTGCTGCTTCAATTTCCCATAGCCATTTTGTCAAGCGCTATTCTATCACAAGCTCTCTGAATGCAGAACACTGTAGGAAGGAAATTTTGGAGCCATCTAGTAGCACCCACAGACCTACACTATGACCATTGTCATATTGAAAGAACGAGTTCCTATTGTCCTTCAGCTATGCATAAAATAAGAATAAAATTAACCTTGATGGAGATGACAAGAGTCCCATTTAGTCTATCCCTTGAGTTATGCAATGACCAACTAAATGCATTTGAGAAGTTTGCTAGCCTGATGCCAGCTACATTAATAGAATCTTGCAAGTCTGAAAATACAAATTCCCCACCGCTACTTTTAACTGCTTGATCTATTAAGATGGATACTTCCTAAGTTTCTTTCTTTGACCGTTAAATCACTGGGGGCTCCTGTATTTTCCTCTTGTGCCCCCAAATCATCCACATATTCCATTACATCTGGACTGGAAGATGCAGCTTCTTCCCACTTTAAAACATGCCACCTATCATTCAGGGAGTGATAAATAGTCCTCTGTAGTAGTAACTATTGATAGTTTCATCTTCCATGAAGCAGCCCATTTTTTTTATTCAGTTGGATTCTCATTTGAGGGGCTATATTAGGTAGCCAATTTCATAGTTTAACCAGGGACCAGTTCCTGTTGGTTTGGACCAGTTCGGGTGAACCACTAGCTACGACAATCAGCTGGGAGCGAACCGGTTCACTCCCACAATCAAGTGGGCCCACCCACCTGCCCCTGCGCTTTACCTACCTTTATCTTCTCAGTTGAGTCACGTGGCAGAATGGATTGCCATGCCTCAGCTGTTTTCCTTCCCAAGCAGCAATCTGGAAAGTAAGTATTCTCTGAACTGCAAACGCACACTCAGTGAACCGGTTGTTAAACCAGTAGGATCCCACCCCTGAGTTTAACTTACTTAAAAAGTAAGGATTTTTTCCCTTCATGTAAATAATTCTAATAATATAAAAGAGGATAAAAATCTCTTTATCCATATTATTTGTGCCATTTGTGATTTTGTTAATAGAACCTTGCCATGCCTCCTTCACTGCAAACTGAGCAATGACTTGCTGTAATCTTTCATTTAGGACAGCTGCTTTTAATCATGTAAAAAAAGGCAGCTTAAATTCTGGGCTTCTGGCCACCATCTTGACTGTTTTGATAGCCCCAACCCTAAATGCTCCTAATTACTCTTGTTTGAACCCTCTCCAATTCAATAATTCCTTCTTAAGATATGGTAGCGAGAAATGTATATAATATTTCATGCCCATAGACAAGGCCAAGATGATAGTTGTTATTTGGTCTTTCATTTTTGGGGAGTGAGAGAGATTGGAGAATTCAGATTAAAAATATTATCTGGGGTAACTTAGTTTAGTGCTTATTCTAATATGGGTTTATCATCTCTAAGTAGGGTGACTCGGGCTTCTAATTTTCTTGTCCAGAGGACAAGAAACTAAATTTTACAGTGAGAAATAGAAAATTGAGAAAATTTAAACTTGGCAGTAGATAGAAAGGAACTGTGCTAGGGCTTTTAAAATGTGAAGGGATGCTATGTAGTGCAAAATTGTTGAAGTTATTGCACTCACCCGCTCCTTGTTTTTCAATGGTGTCCTTTCCTATTCTGTTTCCTAGGTCTATGTACAAACCACCACCCTTACAATATCTATGAACTTAAGTGCTTCAGTGGCTCTGGGGATGCTTTACATGCCGAAAGTTTACATCATCATCTTCCATCCTGAACTAAATGTCCAAAAGCGGAAACGCAGCTTCAAAGCAGTAGTGACAGCAGCCACCATGTCGTCACGATTATCACACAAAACTAGCGACAGGCCCAACGGGGAAGCAAAAACAGAACTTTGTGAAAATGTAGATCCAAACAGTAAGTAGTTTGAAACTTGTTGCTTTTTTTTGCCAGAGTGTTGTAGATACTGTGTTGAGAGGAACCTTATCTTTGAGAACGCATCCCTACTTTGTTCTTATCATGAAGATTATACAGAAGTCTATCTGAAGCTGTTCTATTCCAATGAGATGCTGCTTTTATAATGTTAATCTTTTGCCCAGAGCTTTTTTATTCTCCCTGCTGAGAATAACTCCCTGGGTTGCTTTAGAATACCACAGGCAATTCTTCTAGACATCTCTCCTTTCCTTTTAGGGGGTAGCCTTTTGAGCATGTGGTGTTCTTTGATAATTGATCTCAGACAGAATACTCATTCAGGCTACCTATTTCTGATGCTGTTAAACAGAGATGCAAGAAATAGGTGAGGGTATCCTTTTTTTGCCTATTTTATGTAGCTTACTCATACCAAAAAGTATATGCAATATATGCCTTCACTCCTCATGGCATCATTATGACCACTGGCCATATTCTTTTGAGGGTGACAGGAATTGAAGTCCAACAATACAGAGGATGCCGTCTGGTCTGAGGTTTTCGCTACAGCTTTAAAGGAAATGTCTTAAAATGCTACCAGTAACACCACCACCACCACCAACAACAACAACAACGCAATATTGGAACTATCTGCTTTAAATGTGAAGGAAAAATTAAATTTTAAAAAAGTCTCGTGTTAATTAATATCCTTAGTTGGTTGCTGTTTCATGTTCCAATATGAAACGGTGGTAGATATCCTTCAACGGCAGAGAACACAAAACAACCATGCCTAGTTAAAATAGGATGGTAGTGGTTGTGGTGTTTATATGGATTGTGATGTTTCAATTCAGTGTGAACACTGTTCAGATGTTTAGGAATTTGAAGCATTTACCATGCAAATATCCTTGTTAAGCTCCATCTCCATTGTGAGTATTATTATTTGATGAACATTCATCAGGAGCAGTGCTTCAGGGTTTTTCTGATTTCTAAATAGTTTCCAAGGCTATAGTTACAATTTATTTTTGATCACCTCCCCCCAAAAAAGACATTTGGCTTAAATAACGAGTGTCATGGTTTTCCAACAACCCCCCCAAAAAAACCCTATTTTATTAATACCAACAGAATATTATTTGCCAATTCATTTCCATAACATAAAAGAACTATTATAGTTAGAGAGAATATTTGGTAATATTAATATTTATTTAAATAATTCAATTAAAAGACAGATTTATGGTTTTAACCATTTTAAATGACAGTTCTAATCATAGGCAGAGGATTCTGGTTAACTTGAATACAATACATAACGGAAAATTAGATACAAAATATGTAAAGGACAAAGGGATTTTAATACATGATTGTCCTCTTTGGAAAAGTTCTCTGAGTGGCTTTCTCAAATTTATCAACAACTGGCAAAATGCCATAAAATAGCTTCCAGTTCTCAGAATACCAAATAACATTTAAAGTTATATACCGCCCCATTGCACTCTCTGGGCAGTTTTCAAATGTAAGCATTATTTGCATATTTTCCCCACAATTGGGTCCTCATTTTACTGACCTTGGAAGGATGGAAGGCTGCGTCAACCTTGAGCCCTGTCAGGATCAAACTCTAGACTGTGGGCACAATTTGCCTGTGATACTCCTTAACAGAACAATTTTAAATATTCTTTGGATATTATACCTTTAAGATGTGGTTAGTTGAGCCTCCCCCTGGGCTGTCCTCTGGCCTAAGAAGATCAAAAAGCCATTGTAACCGTGATTTTAAAAGAAATGATCAAATGTCAGACAGCAGCGTGACCTCATGTTTAGATACAAATGCCACCAGTTACTTAAAATTCTTTAATTTTTGACTTTTTAAATATTTTTGTTGAGTCAAAACACCTCTCCAATCCTGTGAAACTGATATTTGATGGGGAGGAGAAAAAGTAAAATTAAAATTAAACCAATTAGATTAGATTGGGTACAATCAGTAGACTTGTAATGTTCCATGTATGGTCTTTTCCCCTTTGTGAAGATTCTTTGTGAAACAAGAGCTAATCTAGATTATCCTAATGTGAGACACTCTGTATGAGTTGGGAATAGCATTTCCAGAATTGCCACTCATCCACCATGTTGGCTGTGGATCATGGAAGTTGCTAAAGAATGTCAGGTTGGAGAAAGCTGGGCTGATGTCCTGATTGAGTGGTTAAATCAGAAAACTGTTTGAGTGTTGAAAAATTTGAATCAACAACATCAGCTTGTTGAACCTTCAGAGAATGTCCTGAGATGGAGAGTACCAAGGACAGTTTCTGGCATAACCCCAAGTCATTTCAACACCTCCTAAGCAGTGACTGAGAACTCTTATCCTTAATTTAGATACTAGCTGTTCTGCGAGAGCCATGTTTAGTATTTGTATAGGATTTGCTGTCAGATGTTCTGTGGGATGATTGTGCTTAACAATGTGTTCCTTCTTCTTTTTTAAATTATACAATCATGTTATTTTCCCTAAATGAATGCTACAGATTTGTGTACCTCCAAACACCAAGATATTTCTTGTTCCAAAAGTTTTTTTTAAAAAAGTTAGCTATTGACTTTCTCTCCTTTTTCCTTAATGAAAAGCTTTGGGGGGAAAAATCATTGCTATTGTATGCAGATTATTGCCCCATTGCATTCAGAAAAAAGGCTATCACAGCATGCGTTAATGAATCATAGGCTGCAGATGAAGCATCATTAATAGGGCATCTGACATTTCAATCAAATATATGCAAGATCATCAGGATTTTTTTATTACTTCGTCTTCAGACATTTTTCCTGTTCATGGTCTCAGCACTTGTTTATTCTAGCAGTCATTGTTTTTTAAACTACAATATTGTTATCTCAGTTATTCTCCATTAAACTGGCAATAAACAGAAGGAGAAGATAAATATACGTATGGTGGGAGAGGCAAATTCAGGAACTTTCATTGAGTGGAGAAAGAGAAATTATTTTCTTGTGCTATTTGTAGTTACAAATTGGATTATCAGATGTTCAAAGGGCTTTCTCCGCTCTCCTTTGTCCAGTTCAAAAGTGAGATTGTGGCTCATCAGAGTTCTTACAGGCCATTTATTCTGTGCTTTATAAAGGAATGGCCAGCCATCTTTTTCTCATCCACACAATGTCCTAATAATGATGGTATGTCATCATGGAGTCATCTTCCAGGGCATTATTGGCCCCATTTTCTGAAATGTATAACATTGGTATTGCCCGAAAGGGCCAATGGGTTCACTTTTAGATTGTTTGGTAGCAGAGAAAAGACCCAATATTTCAGTCCATCTGGTAAGGGGTTTTGTAAATGCTCCAATCTTTATGGTACCTCTTCTGAACGTTGAGTAAGTTTGTTCTCTGTGATGCAACCAAGTTGATACTTAAGGAGGTATTGGTGAAGATTAGCCACTCTCCTAAACATTTACAACAGTGGTAAACTAAATAAAATATTGTGCTGAATGTTTTACAATAGAGAATGAATTTCAATGGAGAGTGATATTATCTTCATTTTATACTATGAGAGTTTTCCTTTGTGGCAGAAGTGGGATACTTTCAGCCATCTAGTTGTTGCTGGATATTGGCAATATCCTACCATCTTATATAACCATGATTGGTAGACAAGGAAAGTGAAACTTATACTCCAACATTGTTTCATGGACTATAGGTTTCTCTGTTTTGATTATCAGGTATGAATTGAACTTTTGTATTTCTACACAAAAATATAGGTCTGGAGTTCCTAGTGTGGTGTTCACAAGCACTCATTTCCCTGTGGACACCCCCTCTCCCACTTTTACCTATCAAACAAATGTTTGCTTGAATTTTTAAATGGAAAATATATGTATATTTTAAATATTTTAAAGAGGAAGCCAATATACCACAAAACAAAATGTTCGGCTTCAGAATCATCTTTATTTCCAAGATGGTCCTTACATTTTACACATAAGGAATAAGTGATCTTGCAAAATAAAATGGGTCTGCAGTCTACTCTTCTTCTTACCTGGTTAGAAAAAAGAAGGTGATATGGATGCTATTGAGGGTATTTTGTGAGTTAGGTAAAGAGCCAATGTGTGAGACCTCCGTGAAATGATCTTAGACTTCCAATTGGACCTTTTTTTACTTCTTCCCCACAAAAATGGGGATCCCTAATATGGGATTTTGAAGGATCTTTGAAAAGCCTTAAAAGTCAGCTGTCCAATGCCTGCCAACCTACTAATCATAATCACAATTTGCATCTGATGCATGTATGCTTTTTTTCATTGAAAAGCTTTGCTTTGCTCTTATATGTTTGACTGTAAGTCTGTCTGCTTTTGTTGTATTTTAATTCCTTCCTTTTTCAGTATCTTCAGCATCTTAGCAATGAAGACGAAACTTGTACATATAATTTCTTTCCCCCTGAAATAATTTATTCTTCTCATAGTTTCACAGGCAAAATCTCATAGGATTTAACAAAATCTCTGATTGTGCTTTTATTTGAATAAATGGAATGTTTGTTCTAGTCATGACAACAATATTGGCTCCAATAGAAGGCATCTCAGTCAACTTGCTATTATTTTAATTTAGTGATCTGTTTGTTATGCTTAATTTGATACCATAAAATGGAAAGATTTGTAGTTGTCAGGGATAATTACTTTTAAAAATTCATTTTTAGATAGCTGTGTGATGAATGAATAGTCCGATGACATTGGATACAGAAAGTTTGAGACTTTTCCCCCAGTTTATTTAATGAAGTTCCTCTAGTTTAATTAATCTGTAAAGCCCATTATTTCCCCCCCCCTCTCTCTTTTTTTTAATTTCCTGAATAGATCTTCAAAAAACCCACATATTTTTGTTTCAGGTATTTGGGCTTCAGGATCTACCAAAAAAAAAAAAGCTTCAAAGTTTCTTGTGGCTTTAAGCAATGGGATGTTAGTATTATTTTCCATATCAAGCATTTTCTGTTATAATATGTATTTATTAAATTAAATACTTCATAGTTAAAAAGGTAAAGGTTTCCCTGTCAGTTGTGTCCAACA